ACCTCCCCATCCCACACACTTAGCCCCCACCCCTTCCCCCTCGGCCCTCATGCACAGTCCCCCACATGTGTCCCTGTGGCATTAGGTTATGCCAAGTGTTCAGATGGAAAAGGCCTAGCAGCCAAGGGAAACAGTTTTGGGTGTGTGCAAAGCCTCAGATAAGAAAAAAAATTGTTAGTCCATAATTGTTTTGTTCATTGACTTCTGAAACTTTAGTTATTTTTGTAGGATGCAAGTGGCTATAAATTCTTTTCATGGGTAACACTGGTGGATAGTGCAACCATGAAAGAAGATGATGGGTCAGAACCTTCTAGAAGCAATGAAAGGTTATCTAGGGACACATTGGATGAAGTTGTAGCAATTGTACAATCTAAGAAGGATAGTTTGGATAGAATGTTAAATTTTTGTGATAAATTATTGAAGTGTATCTTGGATTTACGCATCGATGAGACTTCCTACTTTTGCATTAGTTTTTGAAGGTCACTGTTTAATATATAGGGATGACTCATACCTCTCTCTCTCTTTCTCCTATGTTTGATTGATTAGTTGTGACTCTCTCCCCTTGTATTAAGGTAATATCATAGTATTAACCTTGTTTGATATCATACTGTTATCCAGATAAAACATTTTTCAATATTTTGGTAGTTAAAATTCATCATGTGAAGAGGGAAGCGACTTATTTAGCTGACCGTCAGGCTAACTTGGGTGTTAGGTTGCAGTCTTGTAGTCAGTGAATGGGACGCTAGAAGAGATTGTAATTTCACTTTTTCCCCCACTTTTCATCTCTTTGTGGGACTTGTTCCCTCTTCTTATCAGTGATTTATAGATGGGCATTTGTATGCATTGGCTTAACTCACTTCCAACCTCCCTAGACACTACCAAGGACACATAATGATAATTGCCAAGTAATGATAATTAACACAAGGTTTGTTAGTTATCTACTTTCATATTGAATATCATTTCATAAATTTAAATTTAGGTTTGAGTCTATTGTCTTATGGAGTACAAAGGAGTCAACTGGATATTGAGTCTATCGCATTCAAACCTTCTTTAATGGAAAAGAAGAAGCTAAAATGGATATTGAAACTGGTGAAGTAAACAGTATTGGTATGTATTATTTGTGTTTTATGTTTTGTGGTCCATAACTGAAGGGAACATTAATTAAAGGAAGAACAGTCCAGAGAAACCCAGAAGGTTATCTACCAGGAAAGATGGAACCATTAATGGCATTCTATGGTTTCATGTCTCTATCTTATCTACCAGTTTGTCCAGTTTTAGAAAGATATATTACACTTGCACTACCACATCACAACAGTGATTGCTCTAGGGATGTGTGGAATGGCTTTCTGGTATTTTTAGTATGTAAATTTCAATTCTACTAGGAGCAGACCTATGGGCATCACCCTATGGGCAATAACCTTTACTGCTATCAAGAAAATTGTATCCCGCCTCCTGCTTTTGGTAGTCTCAATGGGTTGTCAAGAAAAATGTATCACCCTATTGGCAGTGACCCTCTTTAGATCTTCCCATCATTGTCTAAAACTTTAGAAAAGCTTCAGGTGATAAATTGTGTGATATATGCAAATAAAAGATGCCATGCCCTGCCAATCCTGCCCATGCTATCTACATACATGCTTACCTAAATCTACCCATACAAATGAAAGATGCCATGCCCTATTAGTCCTGCCCGTGCAAATGAAAGATCCTACACTCTCGAAAGAAAGATGCCATGCCCTGTTAGTCTTTCCCATGCAAATGAAAGATCCCACACTCTTAAATGAAAGATGCCATGCCCTGGTACCTAGATCTACCTCTCCTAATTCAATTAAAGAATCTAGACCTGAGGCTTCTAACACTTCTGACATAGATGGTGGGTCCTAAACAAAAAACAAGTCAAATTAAAAAACCCTGCTTCAACTAATTTAATTTCTCAAGTC